GGCCCACGCTCCCCCGGAAGACGGCCTGAGGGAGGCCCACGCTCCCCCGGAAGACGGCCTGAGTGGGGTCCACAGCTTCCCGGGAGACGGCCTCAGTCAGGTTCACGCTCCACCGGCGACGGCCTGAGCATGGCGAGGCTCCTCCGGAAGACCTGAACAAGGGCCCACGCCCTCCCAGGAGACGGCCTGAGCAGTGTCCAACCTCCCCCGGAAGACACAGTCCACGCCCTCGGAGAAGATGGCGTGTGAGTCGGAGCAGAGGAGTTGAGAGAATGAGAACGAAGCTTCCGAGTGGCAGAGAGAGCAGCTGCCTTCAAGGTCGGGCCTGGGAGGGCTCAGGTTCGGTGCCTGCGGGTCCGGGGGCAGCAGTGCGTGTTCTCCTGGCATAAGGCTCACTGGATTCTTTTTAATAAAAGGCTGCGGCAGTTGGCCAAGCGTCCTGCTCCCTGGGGAGAATGTCTGAGGGTGGAAGCACTTGTTCAGCATGAAAGATGGAGTCTCACGCTGCAGGGAGGGAAGGACCACCTGAGAAGGGTCCAGGGCCGGCTGGGACCCCACCTCATTGGCGCTGTCGGGGGTGGGGACGCCTGCCGGGAATCCTGAGGAGACCTGAGCGGATGGAAATGGGCCCTGCGCCGCCTTCCCATCTGGGCGGGAGCCTGTGGGAGAAGGACCAGCTGGCCACAGAAGACGCCACAGAAGACACCAGGCCAGCGCCTACGATACCAATCTAACGTCTCGTTCACAAGTGTGTGTATTCAGACGAGAGCCATGAGCAGGACACGGGAGAAAGACCACGCGAAACAGAAAGCCACTGCCCCTGGCCTGGAGGACACGGGCCAGGGCGTCTCCTCAGAGGAGTTGAACAGAAGTTACAGCTACAGAACGAGAGGCTCCCTCGAAAAAGGAAGAACGGAGGATAACTGAAAGACTCAAATAATGAAAATAGGTTGCAAAAATTAGGAGGGAAAGGCAGTTGATGAGCTGTAGGATAAATTTAAGAAATCTCCAAAAACATCGAGTAAAAGAATGAAGAGATTAAAATTTAAAAAGTAAAAGCAGAAGATTAATACAGAGTATTGAAAATTTAACAGAAATGTGTGTAAATGAAGGAATTCATAACACAAATGACATGAAAATATACAAATAGCTTAAATATGTCAAGAGAGGTGAATGACTCATACCTAAACATATTCTTAAATCCAAGTTAAAAAAAAGACCTTTCCCCCTCCCAGGTAGGGATGGGTGCTGGTCACTGCGGAGAAAATGTGAGGCAGGTCAGAAATATTGGATAAAAGATAATGGAAACATTCCTTCAAAATACTGAGGGAAAATAATTGAAAGCTTAGAATTCCCCACCTGGGAACCTATTGAGACGGATGAGAAGCAAATCAAGGCATTTTGAGATGTGGGAATATTCACAGAGTTGATCTCCCATTGTAGATGATGCTTCTTGAGGAAGCTCTGTATGAGGGGAGACAAAGCAGGGGAGAAGACAATGATCTTGGAGATGGTGTCCCACTGGAAGAGCAGGACGCGGGGTCTGCAGAGCATGTGCCTCGGTGGGCCTGGCTGGGGAGTTCTCCGGGAGAGAGGCAGGTACCCTCTGCAAGATGCTTCCCTAGAGGCCTCGTGACTTAGCACGTATGGTAAAGGCACAATCTTCCTCTTCTTTTTCAGTAAGAAAAAAGAAGACATTCCAGAAAAAAAAATGCACAATATTTCAAAAGCAATATAAGCAAGTCTAGCAACACACGTGAATCAAACTTAAACACAACACAATTGGAGCTGGGGGTGAAGGCAGAGCCTCTGTGTGTCCTGACGCCAGGCAGCCAGGCTCCCTTTCCAGGGGAACTGTCCTGGGAAGGTTGAACGTGGTTCTGCTTGGCTCTGTGGTGGGAATATCTACAATACTCTCATCAGATAGATGCTGTTCAGCTCTTACAATCACTCAAAAGACAAAATAGAGAAGACTTAATTATGGGTATAAGAAAGGATTTAAATACCAGTGATGATGGTGTAAAGATGTAACGTGTAATTGGGAGAGGCTGGCTAGTGGGGAAGGGGCTGAGGGCTGCCACCCTCAACGCACAGAACGTAGTGAAACCACTTTCTAAATTTGATGCAATAAGAAATAAAGCTTTATTATCTATAATTGTGCATTACAAACAATAATGGAAAATGAAAAAGTATCAAATGTTAATAGCATGAGTCAATAGATGTTATCTAGAACTGAAAATCTAGAAATACAGAAGCAATTTAGTACTTAGAGTCACAAGAACAAAATTTAAAATGGTTAGAGGTGGCTTCTGAGAGTGAAGGGGAGTGAGGGGTGGAGTGGGAGAATATGGCTTTTCATTCAGAAGTTCTTTAGAATCTCTACCATATGACTGCATTAATTTGATAAAAATAAAAACTTCTGTTCATAAGTATATATTTCTCTGATTATATTTCTCATAATGGCAAAGAAATGGTCTCTGATTCATAAACAGAACTTTCAGGAGCTAATTAATGTGAGTTGGCATCCCATCCACTGGAGTGGCAAATCAAATTGTGTTTTATTTCAAAATAAGTTTCATTTTAAAACATTGTGACATATACAGCAACTAGAACAAGACACATTACTCTGAGAATTTCTTAGGCATTTGCTTGAATAACTGAACTAGAATTAAGATGAAATGGCACATCAACTTTAAGTAAATGAGTATCTAAAAATGTTTGTATTAGTAATTTTGCACATTTCTAATTTTTTAAAATCAATGTTTATCTCTTTACAATAGGAAAGTAAATTTCAGCAAGTTATTCTTCAGCATTCAGAAGTCACTAATTAGTGAAGCTCTATCTTGTGAAGCCTCATTTTCATATAATAAGTTTAATTCATGTAGACAAATTGCCTACACATAAAGCATTGTATTCACTGGCAACTCAGAAGTATCATTTCCCCACAAGCTTCTGTAAAACATTACTGTTTTCCACATGAAGTTTGAGAGTAGCTTCCAAAACTTGCCAGATTTGTTTCCCAGAAAGACGGAAAGATATTGGACAATCACAGTTCTGGAGCCGAAAAATGCTAAAAAATTACTTTCCAAGTCATACTGACTTATGCCTCTGGGGCTGGAAGTGCATTGCACAATAAGGAAGCCAGGGTGGCTGGTTCCCCTCGCCCTTCTACTCCCTCCCCCAACCCTCCCTCCTTTCCTTTCAGACCAGGACACTAATTTAAACTGAGTTATTCAGAAATCTGTAGCAGAAATCTGTGTAACACTCCACATTTTAAAATTTACCAAAGTTTTGTTTATATGGACCAACAACTCTGTGTGTACATAATTCTTTGATAGTTCTTTTATATTGGATTTAAATTATTCTTTATGAACCATTCCCCACTGGAATATAAGAGCCACAAGGGTAAGCATTTGGTCTCTTGTTCTCTGCTGTTTCCCTAGAACTTTGTATGCCAGGCACTGACTAAATAATTTGTAAATAAAACAGTGCCATTACCAATAATTAACTAACACTTACATGGTACTTGCTATGGGCTAGGTAACTCTCTAAGAGCTAGAAATACATGAACACATTTAGCCTTCAAAATAACCTGATCAGGTAGGTGTTGCTGTTATCCCTGTTTTAAAGGTGAGAGAACAGAGTCCCAGCAAGGCTCAGTTGCTGGCCATGGGTTGCAGAGCTCTGTGCAGGTGGGGCTGGATTCTGTACTAGGATGATGCTTTTGGCCTGCCAGACTCACTGCTCCCTTAGTGAGACTGCTGTACCTTGAGTGGGGGCTGTGTCTCTTCCTTGCAGCCCCGTGGGCCTACAGAGCAGTGCCCAGTGTATGGCAGTGCCCAGTTGATGGCTGCATGCTGGAGGATGAAGGAATGGTCACCTCCAGCAGGGATGAGCTTGGTGGAGGTGAACTCTTAGCCCTCAATTTGGAACATTCCTAATTCCACAGAGGCAGGTGTCATCTGTGTCTGAAAGGTGGGGCAGGTGCTGGTGGTCAGGGCGGGGCTGGTATATTTATATACTGCATGATCTATTTATAAAACAACTTTACCTTTCAAAGCATCTCATATTCTAGATCTCACCCAGTTACATTGTGAGGAAGCAGTTTCATTTTCATTTTACCAGGAGGCCCACACTGGGAAGATTACACAGCCAAGACATGGCACTGGGTGCTGGGTTCCAATATTCCCACGCCCAGCAAGACTGGAGAGGACCCTGCCAGCCCAGCATGGCTGAGAACCATGCCAGTCATCTGGTCCTTTATTTTTCACTATAAATACGATTGTATGTCAGGTCGATGGTCTTTTTCCGCCTTAGATTTTGCCGGCACATGCAGAGCAGGTGTGTGTGTGAAACTTAATCCAAAAGTCAGTTACTATTTTACAGAAATGACTCTCAAGTGTGTGAGAGTGTAATGAGTGTGACAAGGTGGTCATTACACAGTTGTGAAAAACTTTGGAAATGGAAATGGTTGAATTCAAATAACCCGCTGGCTTGTTATTAATGGGTTGGTGGCTTGTTGTTTCCACAGTGCTGACTCATCAAATCTAGCCCTCATTCATTTTCCCCCATCCTGGCTGACTGGAGAGGCCACCTCCTTGGCTCTCAGTGTGCCCCTCGCGCCTGGGTCACCTGTGTTTCTTAGAGTGGAATTCCCTCCCTGGGTGTGTGGGATGGGGAATCTTGGCAGAAATGAGAGCAAGAGGGACTCAGGACTCTCAGGAGACTTGGGTTCTCCGGAAGGGACTGGCCAGGCCCCCCAGAGATGGGGGATGTTTGTGCAGAGCTGGGCCCTGGCAGCCTAATCACAGCACCATAGTCAGGATGGCTTTTCCTGCTAATACGCTCTGGTCACTGATCTCTGTGTATTCTATAATATTTTGTCTTTCTTTGTCACAGCTTGGTGTGGAAGAGAGCCTTTTGGCCTCCAAGATCAGGTAGATGCTAATGCTCCTTTCTTTAGAGATGAAAATGCCCACAGGAAAAGAGGAGGTGGCTACCTTTGGTCATGACGATTCCTGCCAGAGCTTTGTGGCGGGCGTGCATGGGCATGAGGTCCATCGTCACCTCGCGGAACTTCTGTGTGACCAGCTGGGATATGGAGTCTGCGAATTCCTGAAAGACACAAGCACAGGCCTCCACGTTGGGCTGAGCAGGTGCCGCAAAGGATGATGGGCACTGTCCTCCCCATCCTCAGCCTTATCCCCATGTGGCCACATGTGGGCCTGCTCTCCTCCCCTTCTCACAGCCTTGTCCTCCCCTGGCCACACGTGGCCTCTCTCTGGCTGTGCCCCCAAAACTCAGAATCATATTGAGTGGCTTATGAGTGGTTAACCTCAGCGTTGCTCTCAGCAGAAACCCTGAGCTCTGCCGACCTCCCCATGGAAACAGTGTCCACTTCCCTGTCCCTGCCTCTCAGAGCAGTGGCTGGAGGAGTCTTTCAGGGAGGAGGAGGGGATTTTTACAGGGATGATGGGCCACCAGTCTTCTGAGTATTCCAGAGCCAGTGTCTACACAGCCGGCAGTCTCAGGCTGCTCTCCTGGCTAAATGGTTGGCGCTATGGCTCACTCCACAACCTCTTCTCACCTTCCTGCACATGCACCAGATGCACACATTCACATGCAACACGCAACGCACCTAGGGCACACATGCACACACGAATATGCACACACATGCACACACGTACACAGACACACACACGTGTGCCCCTGCACACCCCTTAACATAATTTGATGAGTGATAAGGCGACTCCTGGTCTCTGGAAAAGCAGCACACACGGTAGCATGTGGCAGCCAGAGTGTGGCTCTGTGGCCACCCTTTCCGCAGCTCGTCTGGGCCCAAGGCTGCAGCACTGCCTTTTCCTTGATGTGGGGCCCCAAGCTTCTCATTGGGGGCAGTATGGCTGGCATAGCTGTTGCAGGCCTTGGAGTAGGAAAACCTGGTTGGACCCTCAGTTCTGCCACTCAGGGGCCTGGGTGAGTCATTAACACCTCAGAGCCCATTTTCCTAATTTACAAGCGAATCATCTTCATTTCCACTTTATGGTGTTTTTGTAAGGATTAAATGTAATACGGCATCTTAAGTGCTCAGCGCAGTGCCCCACACTTGGTAGGAAGTGCTCAGAGATGACGGCTGTGACTGTTACTTTTATTATTTTCATCATTATCATCGTCTCCCCGAGTCACCACAGGCATTGCCCGAGCCTCTGAGCAGCCAAATCAATTCATCGTCTCATCCATGAGGCAGGAAACAGTCCCTTTTTCTGATGAACCGGGTTTCTGCGTTTCCACTAGGCATGTGCTGATGTTGATACTGTGCAGTCTTTGGGCCCGGTTTCCACATTCCCACCAGGCGTGTGTGGACGCTGATGCTGTGCAGGCGTTGCTGCTGATAAGGACAGCTCTCTGATTAACAACGATAAGAAAGATAGACAGTGTTTAAAAATCCCACTTGTAGACAATAAAACATGTTTGTGTGAAAACAGCCCTGCCTGCCAGAAGCGAAAAACCTGCCACAAAACAACCTAGCCCCTCTCCCTCTTAATTCTTCTGCAGTAAAGGGCAGAAGTGCAGGGCCCGGTGCAGTCTCCTCTGCTCACCCCGGGGTTTGAGGGCCCCAAGCCACTGTAGCCCGTAGGTGATGTCAGCTCCTTTTCCCACTGTGCCATGAATCAACACGGAAGCCCCACATAGGACAGATGGCAGATGAGCTAGGCTTCTTCTGAGGGGCGCAATGCTGGCCTGAGAGGGAGATGGGCCCCCGACCTTTCAGGGACTGCTGTGCGCCTGGAGTCTTCCTGGGTGCTCCCGGCCCAGGCTGCTCCTGGCTGTCCTGTCTTTCATGTCTGGAATCAGGTCCAGAGAGGGAAACCTGTGTCCTGGACACCCCATGTGCTGTGTCCTGGAGCTGCTGGAAAAATACCCTTAAATGGGGGTCTTTAAACAGCAGGCATTCATCCTCCCACAGCTCTGGAGGCAGAAATCTGAGACTGAGCTGTCCAGGGACTGTGCTCCCTCCTGTGGCTCTGGGGAGCCTCCTTCCTGCCTCTCCCAGTTCCAGGACTCCGGGCATCCCTGGGTGGTGGCTGCATCACTGCAGTCTCCGCCTCTGTCCCCACGTGGCCTTCTCCTCTGTGTCTGTGTCTGCTCTTCTGCCTCTTGTAGGGACAACTGTCATTGGATTGAGGGCCCACTTGGTCAATCCAGGATGAGGCCATCTCGAAGTCCTTAACTTGAGGATATCTGCAGAGAACTTTTTCTCAGTCACCGTCACAGGGTTGGATGTGTCTTTCTGGGGCCACTGTTCAACCTGTTGCACCCTCGTTTACTCTTCCAATGCATGCTGTCAAGGGAGAGCATAACTCTTAATTTTTTTTTTTTCTTTGAGACAGGGTCTCTCTCTGCTGCCCAGGCTGGAGTGCAGCGGCACCATCACAGCTCACTGCAACCTTGAACTTTTGGGCTCAAACAATCCTCCCACCTCAGCCTCCCAAAGCACTGGGATTACAGGCTCTAGTCACTGGACCAGGCTCCTGTGATAACTTGGTCTTCCTTGGTGCCCAAATCACACATAGTAGCCATGAATGACATCCACAAGGTGGTTGGCAGGCGGGAGCCTTCGTGACAGTCCTTGGTTCTCACCTAGAAGGCTGGCGCTGCCCACATCTAAAGGTCAGGCCTGGTTGTGAGGTCGTCTGGCCCCTCCTGTGCCCCCCCACGAGCTTGCACGCTGAGCTCTGAGCTGGGGTTGAGAAGAAGATGCAGGGGACAGAGGCCCACAGAGCCCTGGAGCCCCGAGAGGCCTTAGCTATCACCTTGGGCCTTGAGAAATCAGCTTCTGAGCACCGTGATAGCAGGCGAAGGTGACATCGGCAGCCCCACCACAGGCTCCTGCAGGGCGTGCACCACCAGTCCCATCCTGCCGGGACGTCCTGCGTCTCCCAGGGGAAGCATCCAGGCACAGGGTTGATGGGGCAGCCCTGCCTCTGGGACCAGGTGACGGGTGGGACCTCTGCCAGGCCCGGGACTTGTAGGCGCCAGCAGGTCTGGGAGATGGGGAGGCTGGCGTTGGGCCTTGACTTGGGGTGCTCATCCTCACCGGCCCGGTAGAGGGGACGGGGCACTGAAGGGCTCCCCGCTGGGCAGAGGGTCTAGAAAGCCTTGTCTGAAGCTGATGTCTGAGATGAACCTTGAAGGAAGAGTAGGAGAGCTTCCCTTTCCCAGGTGACAGAACGCAGGCTGCTCTCCCGCCGGTCGGCCCCACGGCACATGGGCAGGCGAGGGCAGCACTGATCAGCTTTACTGCACAGGCATCCTGGACTCCAGGCATGGGGACACTTCCCCAGCCCGGGCAGTGGCTGTGGCAGCCTGGGGGCCACATCTGCCCCACGGGGTTCACTGTTGTTTCCCGCTCTGGAATCCGATTCTGGGTGATTCACGGGTGTTAATGTTGATTCGAGGACAGAACTACATCTTTTGCTTCTAAAACAGCTGTTATGGTGCCAGCCATCTGATTCCAGCACCTGCTGTGCTCCGGAGTTATTCCAAATGATGTGTGTAGCTGTTTCTTTTTCTTTTTTTGTTTGTTTGTTTGTTTGTTTGTTTAGGATGAAGTTTCGAATGTCTAAGAAGTGATAGCTTGTCGAGCACAGGAGGAGTCTCTGTGTCACTTTGTGTCTGCCTGAGGGGCTCCAGCACAGGACATCAGGATGGTCCCAGACCAATGAGTCATAACAGTGCGTGCAAAAATAGATTTCACTGTGGAAACCGAGGGAGTGCTCTGTCCCCTTAGAGATGGGAAGACACACAAACAGTGACAGCAGGGACTCATTCTGAGCAGGCGCATTACCAGCCCAGGAAAGTGCCAATATTATCCTTTTTAGCTACTGAAGCAACGTAACCAGTCACACGGCAGGGGGTGGCAGAGATGGGAATTACCCCAGCCGTCTTGACTGTGACCCTTGCACTGAACTGGTGACCAGATTGCTCTGAGGAAAAGCAGGATCTGAATTCAAGGATGGCTGCAGGCTTCACTGCCTCTGGGTGCAGGTTCGAGCAGCCATGGCTGGGACAGAACACGGGCGAAGGTGGCCGGCACCTTGAGAAGGCAGCGGCCCTCGGAGGGGGGCCCATGGTGGAGCCTGGCCGCCCGCTCTCCGCACCCTGCAGGCCTGCACCCCTGCCCTAGGCTCCTATTATGAACCAAGCAGCCTGAGCCCCAGCTGCTCCCTTGTGGGGTCATTTGAGGAACAGCTGGGGTGGAATGAATCACATTTGGTTTGGGCCTCAGCATTTCCACAGACGAAGGCCTCCTCGACTCACTGGGGAGGGCTTGCATGGCCAGCAGATGCCAGGTGGACAGTAATGCTCAGCCTTCTTCCAGAGTGACAAGAGCCCCTGGCTGGTAGAGACAGCCTTGAACTGACAGAGCTGAATGGAGACATTGCTGGCCGGATGGTTCCACCCATCCCAGCTGGAGGAGGTGGGAGGCACAGCTGCCAACCAGGAGGCCATGGCACTCACGTGTGCACATTCAGTCCCGCAGGGTGGCTCCAGGCAGCGGCCATGGTACCCTCAAGAACAGGGCACTTCCTCTCCCCAGGTCCACACATTTCCGACTCCACAGCCTGTTTCTTTCTTTCTTCCTTTTTCTTTTCTTTCTTTCTTTCTTTTTTTTTTTGAGATAGAGTCTAGTTCTGTCACCCAGTTTGGACCTCAGTGGCCCAATCTCAGCTCACTGCAACCTGCACCTCCCAAGTTGAAGCAATTCTAGTGCCTCAGCCTCCTGAGTAGCTGGGACTACAGGCACGTGCCACTGTGCCTGGCTAATTTTATTTTATTTTGTATTTTTTAGTAGAGATGGGGTTTTGCCGTGTTGGCCAGATTGGTCTAGCATGCCTGACCTCAGGTGATCCTCCCACCTTGGCCTCCCAAAAGTGCTGGGATTACAGGGGTGAGCCACCACACCCGGTCCTTTTTTCTTTTTTAAAATTTCAACTTATATTTTGGGTTCAGTGGGTACATGTGCAGGTTTGAGTGATGCTGAGGTTTGGTGTACGAGTGACCCCAGTAGTGAGCACAGTACTCGGTAGTTAGTTTCTCATCCCCTTCCCTCC